ATTCCTCACAGGCTTGACGTTATGCTTTTTACTAAATACAGACCTCATCTTAGTTTCATTCAAACCACGATTCCTTCCTGCGTGGCTCAGTCTTAAGGAGATAACTGTAATGTCTATTTGGTGATTTGTGCATGGCTGTATACAAAATCTTCTCATCATTCAGTAAATATGCATTTCTTCAGAAACCTTCACTGTGGAAGAAGCAGTTGAAGCTATTGGTTTTGGAAAGTTTCAGTGGAAGCTGTCTATGCTAACAGGAGTGGCATGGGTAAGAAATTCAGCATTATATAGTATTTTAAACGCAAGTGATGTTTACTGAACAAATAGCTTAAATTTGTTTGGTTCGTTCAGTTTACTTAAAAACTTGTTTCATGATAATTCAAACTCATATGTTTCATATTTGCGTGCAAAGATGGCCGATGCTATGGAAATGATGCTCCTTAGTATTGCAACTCCTCAACTGCGCTGTGAGTGGAGGCTCTCCAGCTGGAAAGTGGCATTCATAACAGCGGTCAGTATATTCACTGTTAAACACTAACATGGTTAAACAACTCCTGGGGTTACATTTGGACATAGCTTACGGTAGAATGTTGATTTTTCACACTCTGTGTTGCTAAGACTTTCATAATATTTAATCTTATGGATTATTGTCATTTTGTACCTTGTTAGACAGTGTTCATTGGAATGATGATCAGCTCCGCACTTTGGGGCAACATTTCAGACAAGTACGGCCGAAAAGTGGTATGTTTGGTTTAAAGTGAAATGAGTAAATTAATAATGTCAGTGCAAGCATTTTTATGTAACTAAGAACTTAAAGCAGTCATTGTTGCCTCACTGACAGCATCGCCGTCTCCATCTTTTAGTGTTTAATACTCTGCATGCTGTGGACATTGCACTATGGGCTTCTCAGTGCTTTCGCACCTACTTACAGCTGGATCTTAGTCTTGCGAGGCCTCGTGGGGTTTGGCCTTGGAGGAGCCCCTCAGTCGTGAGTTTTTCCATCAGTGAAGTGTGACTCTTGGTTTTATTACAAACTCAAAGGTCACATTAAGTGAGCAACATTCAGTAAGAATTCAGTACTTCCTCAGGGGCGGACTTACCCATTAGGCAAAGGTAGGCGACCGCCT